CAAATGTGGATAAAATTACAGATCAGGGTATAAATGAGGAGAGTATGGCATTTTCATGTTGCTGAGAAAAAAAGCTTCCAAAAGTCCAAGCCACAGTAGTTAATCTATGATGACTAAAGTCACATTAAGATATGAGAAAATAATATTATATTTTGAAAGAATCATAAGGATTCTGAAATTATTATGAGTTAGATGTTTTTAGTTTATGTAACAAACAAATAAAACCCAAGGAGTGATGATGATGAACGGTTATGGACAAAGGCAGCTGATGAAGATCACACAACACAGGCCTCTGTAGAATAACAGCTTAAACAAATGTAACCTGCAGAGATCAGGCCTGTGTGTTGAAGCACACAGCTGCTCGACGTGACCTGATACCGGAAGTCACAGAGTGGACGTCACATCACTGCGGTTAACAGGAACTGCTAAGGAATAGGACAAAAAAAAAAAAAAGAAGAAATTCACTGGAGGAGATGGGAAGGTTCGTCGACACGTAGAAGAATGGATGCATTTGAAAATGGATGCATTTGAAAAAAAAAAAAAAAAATAAAAATAAAAATAAAAATAAATAAATAATAATAAATAAATAAATCGAGATATATCGATTAGTAAAAGTCGGTAACGTTCTTTTTTAATCATTGCGTGGTGTTTGGATTTATTTGTACGTCTTACCAACCAAGTAATAATTTTGTACATTTTTACTCCGACAAAGTACGATCCACGTGACGTTAACCTGCACCGGATGTACACCGATGTACGTGACCCTGGGGCGTGTTGACGGACGTGTGCGCATAGTGCAAAACAAACATGGCGGAGACCAAGCAAACAATGTTTTGTACTCACCTGTCAATTATAAAAAAGTTTGGTAGTACTACGGATTTTATAAAGGAAGTCGAGAACTTGTGAGGTCAGACGGAATTAGCAGAATGCGCCGCGGGTTTGTACGCTACATGGGAAGTACCGTAAATCTGTCACCTGAAGCGACAGCAAGGTGTAACCGTGGAGACCTGCGCCGGTTACCCTGGCCTGCGTTCGTCGTCGTGGAGTCAAATGTTGCAAATGGTAAGAGACGTACTAAACTGTTTTTTACACGTTTCGCAGGCTAACAGCTCCGCTTGTGAAGACGACTGACCGCACAACTCAGTACTCGGTACAGGTGATGGCCACGAGGTGTGCAGTTGACATAAGTTTGTTTTGATTCATGAAGTAATTTGCACATTTTCACCACAGGTGAGCTAAGCTTCTGTTGTGACTGTTTCAAAGTGGGACTTTTGTTTACACCAGCAGATGATTGCTGAATGTAGTTTACATGTCATCTGTTGTAACCAGCTATGGAAGACCTCGTTGTGACAGGGCAATTAATGTTGTTCTTATAAACATGTGTTTGAATTGTGCAGTGCTGTGACGTACGTATGTTGAGATAGATATGTTTCTTTAATGAATTAGATTTTGAACAATGTGTTGAGATGGATATTGGCCAGAGACGGCCAACCCTAGTGGATATGTAGGTAATGCTCCTTACCTTTCTAATATCCTTCCTACGTAACTACCTTTCTATGTTCTAAATACCGATCGTCTGTGAGAACACCTTCCGTTGTTTATATGACCTACGTATCGTCAAGCTTAAGTTCCTTCCGCAATATCTAAGGTACTGTCTTTGTGAATAGAAACCAGTGGTACATGTCATCTAGCTGACTACCAATTTGTTTGTGTTGTAAATGCCAAACTAGACAGATAGACTAGATAGATAGATATACTATGTGTAATACTATATAACATATAGTACTATATGACTAATTACCAACTTCTTTCCTAGCTAAATCTCCTTACCAAGTGTCACACTCATTTTTATTTTATTATTATAGCAAACTTATGACCTAACCTATCTATGAAGACGTGTACATAGCAAGCCAATTATCTACCTAACAGTGTTTTAGCTGCTCACAGTAGCTAAAGACTATTACAAAATAAGCAAAAGAAGTCCAGTAAAAAGCAGCTGCTTTATATATATAATTTTTGTTTCAACTACCTACTATGTAATAAACGATCTACCAAACCTCAATGTAATTGCTGCAGGATTAGGCTATGTAGTTAGTGTCCCACCAACAAACAAATGTGCCTACTCAATTAGGTCGTTACCTAGCTACCTAGCAAGATATTAAGTTTTCTGTGTACTGTAGTTTTATATGTATTTTAGTTTTTTTATGTACTTGCAAATGTATTCCATCTCTTTACCCGCCCTTTCCTACTAAACTGTCTACCTAACTGTCTAACTTTTCAACCAAACTTTGGTTTTACGTACCTACTGTACTTGGCTGGCTGGCTGTCTGTGCATTTGTCTGTCTGTTTCTGGTGGTTATGTTTTCCATGTAAAAGGCCTACAGGCCCTGTCGCCGCTGTTGTAGGAGCAACATAAAGGGCAATGTAGGTCACTGTGCTCATCTTCAGAGATCACAGAGCAGACTTGTGAGACATGAGAAATGTTTCCATGATGTTGTAGCTCCGGGCTGTGTGTGGACCCAGTTCCTCTGTCTCTTTTTCTCTCTCTCTCTCACTCTTGTCTCCTTTGTGAGGCCGACTTCATGAACCGTCTGCACAGCCGTCTCCGTGACTCCAGAGAGTCTGAGGAGCCTGTGCTCATTCATGCCCACCCTCATCTTCTTCCTGCTCTCTCTCATGCTAAGGCCTGTTGTTGTGTTGAGTTGTTCAGCCTGCAGGCCGGGCCTCTGCCAGCCTAGGGCCATGGATGGGTTTATCATCTGCTGATGGAACCTGTTAAAATAAATGTAACCCGAGACAGCTGAGGAGTTATCTGATGCTTGTCTGTGCCTGTGATGGCAGCCTGACACACACATGTAATTGCAAACACTGTATTATTATGGAAGAAATTGCCTTAAGTCAATGTTAACAGTTCAAGTTCAACATCATGACTAACTCCAAGGCTAAGTGTTGCGTAGTTCTGTGGGCAGTCGATGTTGTGGTGGTTTTTTTGTTGTGTTTGCTAAGTGTTGCGTAGTTCTGTGGGCAGTTGATGTTGTGGTGGTTTTTTTTGTTGTACTGTAGGTATTGCCCCCAAATATGGCTAAATATCATGTGTACATGACGTGAAATAGGAAAAATGTTAAAAATAAAAACATAGTGAAACAAACAAATGTCACTGTTATTTATGATTTTATTTATACTTGATATGTACTTGGTGAATGCAACACATTTACCTCTAAAATGAACCCAATATTTGGTGATGACAAATTTAAAAAAATCTGTTACAAATTAAATAAGAATAAAAATGGTCTATGTTGTAGGTTTTATTACATTAAGGTTATATTGGTGTTATTGCGATAACCTAGAATACATTTGTATTTATGTAATGAATTAGGTTAATATGTTCTTATTTAATTATCTTTTTTTACAGCATAAAACTAAGCAAAGTAGTTTAGGGATTTTAGGATTTACCAATGTCTGTCGTTTTTTGAGTCATATAGTTATTATGGGGGAAAAAGAAAATTGCAAAATGAAGCACGTGCATCAGTTAACCGTTGATGTGAAAGAGTTAATATCTGATTGAAATGTTTCAAAAATAACATATAGTTTGTTAATGATTTTATTTACTGACAATTACAGAGCAGAAAATAGAAATAAATATTGATAATTAATCGAATAAATTTAACAATAAAGAAAGAAGCCAAAATTGATGTAAAAAAATAAATGATGCATAGGCTAGACACAGAATGTTTTTTATTTAAATAAGGTCTGGCCGTATGAGAAACACGTGCTAAAATAAATAGGACAAAAATATAACATATAAAAGTGATACAAGTAAATCAGAGGGCAGAACAATCAGTAGCTTACGGTGGAAACTGCATTTGCACCAAAAGAGACTAAAAAGAGTCAAAGCGCCTCAAAAAACAAAACAAACAAAAAAAAAAACGTGCTAAAATATTTACAAACGTGAAATTTCTTACACTTACCCTTCAATATATTCAATTCAACTAATGACATGAGGAATGGATAAAAGAAAGAGTTTTACCCACTAATTTCGCACAACAAAATGAGGTCATGTAGGAAAAAAGGCACGGTACAGTTTGAATGTGTGCTACATTTGTGGTCCTGCTGCGATGACGACGTTATTTTCGCAGGATAATGGCTGAACAAAATGACGTCCGCACGTAAAAGGCTGCAATTGCTTTGGGTAATAGTGGTTCAGTCATCCCTCGACACAATAAACAAAATAAATAAATACAAAAATAAGTGTAGGGGTGGTAGTTTTTTTCCTATCCTCTGCCGGCACATAAACACCACCCCGGCATCATCCGTGAAGCAGACCGGCTCCATCGGCTTCACTCGGATGAGCGTGAAAGTCATCAAAATGAAGTGATACTGGCATTTTAATGTCCGGTGTTTGTTCTGTTCTTTTCAGAATATAGTCCCAGCACTTATGGCGGAACCTGGGTGGTGCTGGACCAGAGGGGACTGCATATGCGTGGTGGGAGAGTTCGTGGTGGAGTACCAGGAGTAGTTGGCCAAGAACGAGGATGGAGCAGCGGAGTTGAGGGGACTGCTGCTGCCGCTGCTGCTGAGCTGAGGTAACGTGGAGGTGACGCCGTTCATTCTCTGACTCTGTGGAAAGTCCCATGCTGTAGTTGGCGGAGACGCACAGGGAGGTGATTCACTGGAAGCGACGTGTTGCTCCGGGGGGATTTCTCCGCTTTTCCACAATTTCTTGAATTTGGAGCGACGGTTCTGGAACCAGATTTTGACCTGAAAAAATAAACAGAAATCAGCTTTTAATTGACGGCCGACGGCCCTACGTTTCCATTTTGACAGTTGAATATTGCTTCATTGTAGACGTTAAATAAGCCCATGACGGCTCTGGACTAAGCGCGCCCACCTGTGTTTGCGTTAGGCCCAGAGAGGCTGCGAGCTCGGCCCGCTCCGGCAGAGCCAAGTACTGCGTCTTCTGGAACCTCCGCTGAAGTGCTGCCAGCTGGAAACTGGAATAAATGGTTCGAGGTTTCCTGACCTTCTTTGGTTTTCCATTCACCATCCGAATTTCTGGCTCACTCTCTTCTTTCTCTGAGGGAACATTTGAATGGAGTTGGAGTTTAAGTATGCGTTCAAGGCGTAAATCAAAAGTACAACAGAAATGTGAACTAATGCAGTGTTTAAATAAATAAATAAAAATATTGTGACGTGCGTGAGTTGTCATACCTGCATCTACTGGAGTAGGAGACGAGTTTGGGCCGTAGGAGGTGTACGCGCCGTAGGTTGAATTAAAACCAAGATCGTAAGACTTGGAGTTGTATGGCCCGGTGCCGTTGGCGTTGCCGTGGTACTGGTACGAACCGAGTTGTCCAAACGGTGATCCGGCGCAGTGTCCCGGCTGCTGGCTGTTGTAGTAGCTGCTGTCCGTCGCCGTGGACACCGGTAGTGTGGGAGACTCCTGCGATTTGTGCAAGCTGTGGTAGTTGCTTGAGGTAATCTGGTTGGAATGCATATCAGTATTCAGGTTTTCAAAAACCCCAGTCATTGTTGTTAAAATGCCTGACAAGTAGCAGCCTCCTAACAAGACAGGCCGTGCGTAAAAGTCGCCAAATTGCCAAAGTGCGAAGCTGAAAAGGAAGCGGCAGCTAACGCACGGACAGATGACCTCTTCTCCGTGGATAAGAACGCATTCCCGTGTAAAGTGTGGCAAAACGAGCAGAAGGTGTGTCCCTCTGACTGTGGCCTGTGATTATCTGCCGCGGTCGGCGGCGGAGGCGCATTTATGAGAGGGAGCGAGCTCCTGTGTCTGAGGCGACCAATGGCTAAGAGCTGCACCTCTGACTACTCCCCACCGCGTCCACCCTCCATTATTCCGGCAGGTCTGTGTTTTTGTCTAGGGTCTACACACTTTCTTTGAAAGCATGTGACTCACAACACGACCAGAGGAGAAGGCACAATGATCGAAGCTGCAGGAGCTGCGGGCCCGGCACCACACTCTTCCATTCATGTGCGCAATGATCCGTGAAGGACACAAAGTGAGACGCATGTAACTGGTGGAGAAATGTGTTTAACGCATGAGCAAGTTAGATTTCAGTGGCCTGGTGGTTTGTGGGTTTGGCCGTAATCCGTTGGATTATACGCTTGTCAACAGTTTACACCAAAGTTATGGCAGAATTATTTATGATGAAGAATTGATTAGATTGAAGGGTTTTTTTGTATAACATGTGTGTGAAAAGTGTATGTGTGTGTGTTGCTAAACAGAACCAAACACAGAGAGAGTTCAGCCTGAGGGAATATAACGGCGTTACTTCAACGTCACAGCAGAAGGATGAGAAGAGACGTTGAATTAAGTGACATGATTGGAGAGTTGCAGCACCTTCTGGTGTTAGAAATAAGACTTACACTTCCTGTCTGCTTGATTTCACTGTAAGTGAGCAAAAAGGGGAAAAATAGGCTCGTTGTCAAATGATTTGTTTGACATAAATAGTAGAAAGTGACTTTAGCTTCGCTCCTTTGTTTATTAAGTGTGGGCTGATGCTGCAGTCTGTGGTCTAGAGTTGTTTATACGCGGAACCGACGAGGTAATGATTTTGGTGCCACAAGATGGCAGCAAAGTTCCTTTTATCGTTGTAGACAATGCACGTTATTTCAAATGTAGAAGGTAGACAGAGATTTGTTAAAAAATAAAGTCACTTTTCTCAGCATTAGTCGAGATGAAAACACAGCTGTAATGACATTGTGTTTGCTGGCAGTGCAAAAAAAAGTCCCGGAAATGAATACAAATGTGATGTATTGATTGGAAAGCATAAAGAAATTGTTTTAATGTCCGGTGTTGTGTTATTTGCAGAACATAGTCCAAGCACTTGTGCTGGACCAGAGGGGACTGCATATGCGTGGTGGGAGGGTTCGTGGTGGAGTACCGGGACCAGTTGGCCAAGAACGAGGATGGAGCAGTGGATGTGGGAGGACTGCTGCTGCTGCCGCTGCTGATGATGATGTGATGTGGAGTTGACGCCGTTCATTTTCTGATTGTGTGGAAAGTCGCATGCTGTAGTTGGCGGAGACGCACAGAGAGGTGATTCACTTAAAAAAATGACACCATCTGACCGCATGACACGCGACATAGGATGTGACCAAAAGTGTCAGGAAAAATGTTGCTCGGGAAAAATTCTCAAAATGCTGTAACTTGATAAGACACATGCAGGAAAGATAGAATGTTGTATGTTTTTTAAAAGTTTGCAGCTAAACCGTTCACCATGTCATGACACGCGAAAGTAGGATTATGTCGGAAAAAAAAACCAAAAGGTCAAAGAGTTTTGTATACAAATGTCAGCATTTGACCAGAAAAAGACAGGAAAAGTTCAGATACTTTAAAAAAAAAACATTCTAAAAATGTTCTCTAAATATCCTAAATAGACGAGGGACTTGATACAAACTGGAAAGATACAAATTTGGGAAATGCTAGTTAACAAATCGTTTAGACAAATGTATGTATGTATTATCATTAGACCAGGAATGACACGAAGAGTTAAGAGTATGACAAGTCATAAAAAAAAAGTTGTGAAAATGTTCTCGGAATGCCTTAAGTTGAAGAGAAACATGGAGGAAAATAAAGAAAGGTGAAAAGTAGTTGTACAAAAGCTTTTGTGAAGTTGTGTAGTTGTTGATGTAATGTGATAAGAAACATGCAGGACAAGATAAAATGTATGAAAAATTGTTTTACAAAGAAATTGGGCAAAATGTTGTAGTTGTTGACCAAAAATGACATGAAAAAGTCACATTTTGACAGAAAAGGCCAAATGTAATGAGAAACATGCAGGAAAAGAGTAGAATTTCAACCCAAACCCTGGTAAAAGTTGTTATTTTGTGGCCAAAAATGTGAAGATGACAGAAAGATCACATTGTGACATAAGGTTTGTTGGGAAGAAAAGGTAAAAGAATGTTCTTTAAATGCCCTGAATATTTGAAAGACATGCAGGAAGATACAGTATTGAGAAGTAGTTGTACAAAAGTTTTCATCGAAATTCAGTGGAATGTGAACAGAAATGGCACGAAAAGTGCAGATTTAGGCAAAGTATGTAATGGGGGGGGGGAGGGGGGCTGTAATTAGATGAGAAACGTGCAGGGAGGGTCATGTTGGGTTTAGTGCAGTGACGTGCAGTGAGGGTCGTGGCAGGTGAGGTGGTGTGTCCCCTGCCTCCCGTCACTGGTTTAGTGCAGCTGTGTGGTCAGCTGTGGTGAGAGTGTTTGGCAGATTCCTTCCCTGAACTCCTGCTGGGTGTATTGGTCTCTGTGATGACACACGTAACGTTAGGTTTTCCGGCTTCAGTGTTAATGTTCCGAAAGGAGATTTCAAACAAACGGGGTTCACAGCAGGGGCTGCAGAAGTTTCTCTATTGTTTGTAGGCTCAAAGCACAGGAGTAAAAAGTAAAAACTAGTGAATGCATTTACCTCCATGAGTTCCTTGCAGACATGGAAATGATTAACCAAGTGTTTGTTGACCCCCCATTTGGAAAGGTTAAGCGCGTGGTGCAGATGTGCGGACAGAAGTGGAGGTCAGGCTGGAGATCTGCAGCTGGGCGTTCGTGATTGAGCATGTGCTTCCTCAAAATCAGGCATGGTGGTTTTCCCCCCGATGAGAAGTTATTCTTAACAACAAAGGCTTTAAGGACGTGCACGGGCAGACGATAAGAAATGGGAGGAAGTTTTCTGTTTGGAACTCGTAGTAGATGTAAGGTTAATGTTTGATGCAGCACAAAGGGCCAGTCTGTGTTAAACACCGCTGTTGTGTTGCCTTAACTGCAGTGGAATCATAAAGCATACGTTTGAAAGGCAGCACAGTAGTAAAGGCTAAATAAAACCAACCGCTCTACCTGTGGCACTGGAACTGCAGGATTTCTTAGAGGTGTGTAAGGATGGACACATGTAGGTTGTGTAAGAAGAAGTTACCGTCAAAGTAAATAACATTTCCTGTGTAAGACGTTTGTGAGGTACCTTGAGGATGTGATGCAGTATAAGCGTTGAAACACAAAGTGCCCAACAGAAGGGTCCACTTTGTAATTGTTAAGTTGTTAAGGGAAGCAGTGGGAAAGACAGAGGTCAACTGCAGTTGTCGTAGCCGTTGATGTAGTCCAGAAAGAAGTAAGAGAAACACAGTGCACGAGTATGAAGTTGAAGGTTCCAAAGCGATAAAAGGAAAGAAAGCTTAGTCTAAGTTGAATTGGGTGACAACTATAAGAAAGTGTGGTAAAAGTGACACAGATGTAGCAAAGTAATTACAAATGTGTGTGAACTAGAGATGTAAGTGAGAAGGTGATGTAGTCCAAAGTTTGTAGGAAATACACAAAGGTAGACAGAGACAAGGTCAGATGTAGCTGACGGTGAGCTAAGCATGGAGTAGTTAGTAGGAAGCATAGAATATGGCTGTGCTGTGTAATCTGGGTAACTGTAGCTACAAGAAAACCAACCAAAAATGATGAGCCGTAGCAGTGAATGTGGTTGAAAAGATGAAGTGATATAAATTGTAAGTCATCAGAGCATGTAGAAAAGTATTGTGAGGTTATTGTAAAAAAAAAAAAATGTCGAAGGTTGCCAAAGGTACGTAAGAGTTAATGAAGCAAAAGCTAAAAGTAAAAGGCTAATATATGTAGGTTAGAGTAGGTATAAAGGTAAGGAAGTAGGCGAGAATCAGGGAAGTGTATAAGGAACGTGACGCAAAAGCAAATGTGTAAGTTGTGAAAGGTGTCAAAACAGAGGTGTAGGAGTAAATAAAGCAGGTACGTAAAAGGTTGTGGTTAAGTTCGTCGTAGTACCCTAGTGGTGGTGCTGTGCGATGAGATGTCATGGAGGCCAGTTGTTCACGTAGATGGTTTTACACTACTGCCTGCGTTGTCTGTTGGTGTTGCTGGGTGAGGAAAAAAATACACAGAGTGATGTAAGGGCAGGGTTCACACACAGTGGTGTGGAGTGGAGCAGCAGCCCAGCATGACTGCACAGAACAGGGACTGGAAGTGACGTTATCAGTATCTGCAAATGTGAGTTTCTTAGATAGGTGTGTTGAAACCGAGATTCCGGAAGAGTAAGTGGCCTGAAACATAGGCATTACTCGGTCAGAGTGTATAAATAGGTAACGTAATGTAATTGTAACAGTAGGAGAAACCAGGAGGAGAGAAGTATGGGTTGTGGCAGCAAAGGATGGGTGGTAATATTAAGGAAGACAAGTAAGATGTGTGTTGTGCATTGTAAACAGCCACAATGTCAACGTATGTGAATGAGAAAGTCCCTGGTGGTTGGTGGCACAGGTTGTCCCGCAAAAAAGAAAGTGAGATTAAAGTATGAGAAATATGTAGTGAGAGTATATGCAGAAATGTGTGTAGCGAACGAGAGGACAGTATGTAATTGGCCCTGTGCTGTGAATAAACCTGATTAACAAGGTCATGGCAAGGACCGCAAAAAATGTAATGTTGTATGATTTTGTGGTGTAGGTTGGAAGGGTCGGCCTTAAAGTGAAACATTTGAAACACTAAGTTTGATGTTAGTATGACGTCAGGTGAAAAGGCCTGATGGGTGTTGTACACGTTGGTGAAACTGAATATGGTAACCACGGCGGTAGCCTGGGGGGGGTCCACCTGGTCCTGCACCTGCAGGTTGTGTGTTCCCAGTGGCTGGAGACAATGCCAGAGTGCAGTGCAGGTTCACCTGCGCTCACAGGTCATGTTACAGCAGCCACGCCTGGCAGCATGTTTTGGGACCTAATCATGCATTTTAAGGCGTTTCGGGG